GGGGGGGGGGGGGGCTGATTTCCCTAGCAACAATTTATTTCATGAGTCTTCATTTAAATGAGGTCAGTAAACAAGGAACCAGCTATGCGATACATCCTATATGAGATGAGTTAAATATAACTTGGGATCTCGGGTTGTTAATTATATCAGAAAAAACCCGAAAACGTGCATCACGATCATGACTTACGATTGTTTCTCCGTTGAGCAATAAGATAGAACGATACTTAGTCCTATTTGCCGGCCGGTTGGAGATCGACTGTCGACAAAAGGAGTATCGTGCGCTAAATGGAATGACTATTTTAAACGTTAGCGTTTTCTTTTGAACAGCTTGTTAGCGTCTTGTGAGCTTGATAGAGTCGTGACTGGTCGTGACGTTAACGTTTGGACCGTTTTCGAAAAGTCGCGCAAGTGGAGAAAAACCGTACTTAGCCGTACTATCCTGAGAACTGACGACATGGGTCGAAACATCTGTTGACTGGCGTGCTGCTGCTCAGTTTACTGAAGACCACTGAAGACCATTGAAGATTTAATAGGTTGGATCTGTAGCACGAAGTTCTGTTCTCAGCTATTAATTAAAGAAAAAAATATGTCCACACATTTACGAAAATGATACTCACTACGGATCAACTTGCTTCTTATAACAAAATTATTCCTAATGGGAATAATTAATAACTACAAAAAGTTGATATCTAACCTCTTGCCCAACATACGACATACGTCGTCTGCTAACGAAACTTCCTGTATTAAAATTATTACAAAGGTTGAAGAATGCACAAATTTGTGACAAGAATTATAACACATAATACCATTAAAAAGTTTCCGTCTAGTCCTGGAATTACTCTGTGTCAGATAAGACATGCAGATAATGACAGTGTTAAAGAGAAGTATACTAAAGTAGCTGTATTTCGCAAATATTGGTTTTCAAGATACTTGGATTACATAAAGAATTATGAAAAGACATTGGAGAAGAACTTTCCAAAAACGATGCACGTCTATCGTGTATTTAGTGTGGGTACCAAGGACTTTTACGTAGAACTTAAAAAGTTTCTGTTAATCAAGAAGAAGCTGAATATTGATGGAGAACACAGTCTCTCTAGACAGGAACTAGAGATTAATCAGACCATGCCTAGAGATTTACTCAAGATATCACCAGTTCTTCTAATCTCAGCAATACCATTTACAAATTATATCATATTCCCTCTTGCTTATTTTTTTCCCCGACACCTTCTTACGTATCACTACTGGTCTTTACAACAAAGGCTGGATTTCCTGTTGATAGAACACAAGAAGAGATTGAAACATAATAAACCACTGTTCAGATGCATGCAGGCTCAGGTGCATCAGATAAAGAATCGTGAATTAAAAAGGAAATGGAGGGACATCATAGCTTGCCTTGGTAGTGGTACTCATCCTACCACTTCGAATATCATTGCATGTATTGAATTATTTACTGCACCACCATATTCTCTGAGTTCGCTTAAGAGAAAACATATTGTAGGTTGTATTAAATATTCTTTATTTATGTATAATTCTAAATATAATGAAAACAAAATTTGTTACAGAAAGAATTACTGGCAATTCATGGAATGAACAAATGGTGTTTTAATAGGAAAAGTCGATTATTAGATAGAGGACTATTAATTAAAGAAATGGATGATGCTATTAGAAAAGAAGGAGGTGTCACAAAGATGCATAATGATGCTTTAAAATGGGTAAGCCAACTGAAATGCATCCTTCATATAACTTGTGCATTCTCAATTTTTTCTCTACCGTATTTTAGGCACTGTCCTTTAGAGGTGTCAATCCTGTGAACATGTCAGTGGAGGGTATGCAGGATTGGCTGGAGAAGTGGCTTGAGGTATCCTGTATGATTGATGAGAATAGTATATCCTTACTTTTGCATTGTCCTATTCTATTGGCTTATAATCACGAGACTAATTGGATTCTACTATATCATTAATTATACAGAATGAATGTATGGACGAATTTTTTTTTTTTTTACGTCGAACTTGTTTTGGTACATAACTCAATTACTAGAAAATTGTAATATTATTTTCTGTACTTCGTCAATATTATATGACAGATGGTTAAGCAAAAAATTATAACTGAAATATGTAATTAATGTAAGATAAATAACACTGTAAATATTTCGATAAAGTATATTTATTACCAACTATAACGAATTTATTTAATACACAGATACAATTTATATACAAATTCGTAGTTACAAAATATATTGTGTATCTTAATCTGTCATAGAATTTGTATATACATACGTATGTAGAATTACGATTGATGAGTTAATTAAAAATATCACAGGCAATGCTAGGCTGTCTGGGAAAAGAATTTAAGTAACTTTCAGCGGATGAATTTAAGTTAAATATGTAAAGAATTAAAATCTTTCTAAATTAAATTTGATATAATATTTAAAATTTATACAATTCCTTTCATAACTAATCTTCATTCCCAGACAGTTTTCATTTTGTATATGGGTAAATGAAATACTTAATAAATTAATTAATTGGTATGTAGGCGGGCAACGGACCCAACGGAGCTCTCTGGGGCCGTTCGTACTCAGAATCAGATTTATCCTCTGAAGTTCGAGAACTCGCATCATTCTGCTCACCAGAATCCTTTCCCTTTTTAGCTTGTACAATTTTTGTACTTTTCATTATTTTTAGTTTTTTCAAAACACTTTCCCGCATTTTTTCTATATCAATGCTTGTGTTACCCGACTCATCGTAATATCGCTTTCTAGACTTAGTGTGTGATGGAACAGTACTGGCAATATCCGAACTTATCGCTTTATGTTTCCGATCAGGGAGTTTCCGCGGCCTTTTCGAAGTCGAAACATTTTTTTTGTGAGGATAAGGGCAATACTTACCTTTGCCGCAAGTTCCCGTCCTCTCGAATTCCGGACACAGATAGACATGACGTTTTTTGCACTATTGAAATAAAAAGTAACAAACTAGTTCTTTACAGAAGTCAATTTGATTCTAGCTCTAGTAATAAATGGAAAACCTAAACTACTATTACCTTGTTTGCCTCTGCACAATAGCCACGTAAAAATTGAGTGCAGATCGGAGTGCTAGCAGAGACTTTAACATGGAGATAAGGACACGGGTCGCGAATACAACAACCTTCCAAAAAGTATTTACACGTTGGCATTTTTTCGGGCCCAACATCATGGGACATTCGACAATCGTCCAGTAGACATTTCCCTTGCAAGAAGCTGAAAATATTCTTATTTAAATGACAAATATAGTGAAAGAATAAGTTATTAACTTACTTTTTGCAGAGAGCAACTTGTTTCTTATCGTGCAACTTGTGACAGGTACTCTTCACCTGATTTGCACAGTAACCAAATCTCTGGAAGAATAGACAGGGTTGATTGTTCTTGCGCATCTTGTTCCTCAAAATCTGGATACTTCTTTGTTTCACTTTGTTGCTGAAACAAAAAGATAAAACTGATGTTGGTAAAATCTAAAATACAGATACAAAATTAAAAGGGAAAACCTTTTTATGGTTACCTGATAATAGTTTTAGATGTAGCACGAACTAGCACATTTGGTGTTTTTTCCACATAAGTTATTCCACCAATGCTGATGCGTGACTTGTTTATAACAGAGGATGATTCTCCTATAGAGCTTAGTCTACAAAGTTTTTTACCATCTGAAGCCATTAAGAATTTGTCTCCTTGTACATTTATAACGTAGCGTTTCTCTGTAATCGTTAGGCCATATAAAACATCATAGCAATATATACAACAATAGATAAATGTTATTGAAATATACTTTTTGATGATGGTGTATGTATGTTGCTTCGAATTAATTGATTCCTGGAAGATTTATATAAAACTCCCCCAATTCTTAATAATGCAGTTGTGCATCCCCTGAAGATATTGTTAGTTGATTATTTTCATTTATCAAATATTATAGAAGTATCTAATGTTATATTTTTAACATAATTGTACTTACTCTAATTTCCTTAAAGAAGGAACTTTAACAATTTTACTTTCTTCTATTCCTTGAGTTGCTGTTCTGTCTATCTTGTATTTGTTTGGTTGAATTTTACTAGTAGTTCCGATTGGTTTTGTTACAGTGGTAGTGCTAGCAAATTTTTTTTCAATATCCATAACAAGTTTGTACTTGGTGGCAACTTTGGTTTTTCTAATTCCAGAATTTACAATTCTTTTGTGTTTAGAATTCAAAGCCATACCAGAAGATCCTTTAACATTAGATTTCATTCTTATAAGCTTTCGTTTGGACACTGACACTAAACTTGAGCCCAAGGATCTTCTGGATGTTACAGGGGACACAACAATGCTTTTGATCAATTTGGATTTTGAGCAAACTGCATACTGACTCGCGGGTTTAATTACTTTTTCATTGTGAGATTTACTTTCAGTTGGAACAGTGCTTGACAGTTTTTGCATTAATTTAGGATTGACATGTACAGATCTCTCATATTTAGTCTCTACTATATTTGGATTAGAATCTTGTTTTGATTCTTTACTACTTTCAATCTGTTGCTTTGCTGCTATATTTTTTATTACTTTTGGATTCACATAAATAGAAGTTTTCCCCCGGAGTTTTGGGTTAATATGGATAGTAGTGTTCACAGGATTAAAATTAGGATTAACATGAACTTTCGTCGAAGTTGTTTGGAATTTCACATAGCTATACTGATTTGTCCCTTGCGATATTGATTTTAAAGGCAACTGATTAGTGGAACATGGAAAATTAAAAGCCTTTGAAGAATTTGCTTCTACGTTTGGTACCTGCTCCCTTACAGTTACATGATATTTCTTGTGCTGTTCTAACAGGTCTGAAATGCAAAATATATTCGACATCCTGAACGGTGCTTTAACCTTGGGGTATACATCATGTACAGGAGACTTACGCGTAAGATATGATATTTCCTTCAACGCATTGTCTTCCATGATAGCTAAATCGCCAAGGTAATACATTAGTGATTAGAATATTAAATAATTAATTAAATAATTGATTAAAATCGATTAACAATTATATACCTTAAAAATATTACTGTTTCCACATATCCGCATCCATCCAATGTTGACAGGAAACCAAGAAACGAGAAGCTAGGAAAGTATTACGTGAGTCACAGCAATTCAAAATACATATTGGTTTTATCAGAATACATACCGCATATAAATTTTAATAAAATAGAAGTATCAATAATATGTTTCTTTTACAAATTTTATATCATTCATCTATTCATATATTTCAGAAAGTAAATAAGGGAAATATTTAATCACTCGTTTGAATAAAACGACGTACGAAGGTGCTGCATTCTGTTGACTCAAATTTTCAGGTCTTTCGCTTCCGGTTAATCATGGTAAGCGTGTTGAGCTTTCTAATATAAAGTTGGATTTCTTATAAAATTGGAATTTATAATACAATATTCATATAATATTAGGATAAAGAACACTTACCTTCGTCTGACAATAGAAATTCAACTAAGGCGTAGTTGAAATTTGTATTATTTCCGAAAAATGTACATCCAGCCTACGGTTCCTATAAGCCACATGGCATTCCCAATTTGTGTACCTGAATACTTAACCACATTTCCATTGTTAAACGAAGTGACTCTATTATTCGATTGGAAAATAATGAATAATTACAATGTATTTTAGCCGTTTGAAAGGTTCGTCCAAACGGGCCGCGTTGCCTACGTGAGTGATGGTGCCCATCAGGGTAAACTTGTCACAATCGTCGATGTCATTGACCAAAACAGGGTAAGAAATTTTTAGTAAATTATTTGGAAGCTCGCTTTATTTCCTCTTCGATGATGAACCGATATTCTTGATAGGAATTGCCGGCTGATACATAAATGAAGCTATTATATCATTTCTGAAATTTATGTTATAGTATTGGACAACTTTGTCTTTGATATTCTGGATATTAATTGTGATTATCTGTTGTAGGTTCTTGTCGATGGACCAAAATCTAATATACCACGAGGCCAGATGAGACTTAGCCAGCTGCATCTGACTAAGTTTCGTTTGAAATTTCCTTACACTGGCTCTACGCGTGTTGTGCGTAAAGCCTGGGAATCCAGTAAAATCGATGATCAGTGGCGTGAAACCATGTGGGCTAAGAAGGTTGAAGCTAAGAAGAAGGTATGTTTATATATTAATTATTTATGCTATTTATACCTATACTATGATGAACCTTGTTCTTGATAGGAATTGCCATCTGATACAAAACTGAAGCTAACTTCTTCTCTGAAATATTTTAACACAATACTGTGGTTGCCACATTTCATTGCATTAGTAATAAATTCATTCTTTAATTTTACAGCGTGCAACACTTAGCGATTTTGATCGTTTTAAGCTAAGAAAAGCTAAACAAATCAGGAATAAGCTGAGGACAGCAGCATTTTATAGATTGAAGAAGAAGGCTAAGAAGTCTAAGAGCACAGAAGCTCCAAAGGATACCAAAAAGCCAGCAAAGAAGTAATTGTATCACATTTTTGAAATAAATGCTCCACCTTTATAAAGTGTTATTTTTTATTACCCAATATTTAAAAAAAAAAATCCATAAATTAGGCTTAATGATTTAAAATGACAGTCGCTTTTTGTTTTAACGTTAATCTAATGTTTTAAAATAAAAAAGGAAAAGCAGTTGAGGTGCAGTCAAAATCTATATTTACAAACACGATGAGCAGCGAACTTAGCATCGTGAAATACATGGACGAAACGATCTTTGAACAAATATGCGATGCAATATTCACTCTAATTCCTGAAGGTTGTGATGCACACACTGCAACAAATGCATGAGAGTTTAGTAAACACTCTTAACTGTCATACATTTACAGTGCCAAGGTTAAAGCAGTTGTTCTTAAGCTGGAGCCTGTTGAATTTTGAAGAGAAACAACAATTAGATGAGAAGGTAAAAACTTGGTACAATCCAAGTAGACGCCAACTTTACAAACCTCTTCGAGAAGCCCTAATCCGTTGGGAAAATCTGCAGGATACACAAGGTTCATGAACAAAAGATCATATTTTTATTAGATTCGAAAATCCGATGAATTTTGAAAAAGGTGCTCCAGGTTGCGAGCCGGGTTTGGTATCTTTCTCGTGTGATCCTCAACTGGAAGAGGAGTTGGTAAACGTAATATGCAGTCTGGAGATTATATTTGCAAAAAATAAAGAGGGCAGAGAAGATGAGGAAAATAAAGGCTCTCAACACGCGAGACCTATGGCAGAGATTCCCATGAGTAATAAAAGTACCCCTAAGGACAGGACACCTCATTCAGTACATAGCTGCGGATACATTACGGATCGAAAGGATTCAGATGATGATGATATGAGTGGTTACATGACAAATTAGAAATAGAATTAGAATATTAATTCCACCAATCATATAGTAATATAAAGTACATTATAATACGTTAAATTATAGGGTAAAATATGAATAAATTTCATTATAGTACATCGAAGTATTATTATGACATATCACAATTAAAATAAAATGACCACTTTCACTGCTTATGGGGTTCAGTCGTTCTTTTCTCCATAATCCAAGCATGATTTAAGATCCCGTCAAGCGATAGTCGTCCCTCCGGATCAACCACCAATAGCTAAAAAGAAGTCACTAATATACTGAACATATCGAGGCAAAATTTCAAGAGGAAGCAGCGAGGATTTTTACCTTGGAAATTAAATCACGAGCTCCTTCGCTTACAAAGCTAGGGAACTTATATTGAGCTTTTCTAATTTTCATGTAAGTCTCGTCATAGGTTTGAGCAAGGAATGGTGGATTTCCCACAAGGCACTCATAGCATAAAACTCCAACACCCCATAAATCCACAGTATGATTATGAGTTTTTCCTAAAACCATCTCTGGGGGTAAATAGTCCAGGGTACCACAGAGTGTTTCTCGCCTAGAGGATGGCGCATGAACGGACCACCCGAAATCTGCCATTTTTAATTCGCCGTGCATTCCGAGGAGTAAATTTTCCGGTTTAATATCACGGTGAATGACATTTTTACTATGACAATACTTTAACGCATCTGCCAATTGCGAGATATATGTGGCTGTCCTAACGTCATCAAAACGTTTGTCTGGCTGACTATGGAGTTGCTTGAATAGCTCCCCTTTTGGAGCGTACTCCAAGATCAAATATATCCTTCTATCATCATGAAAATATCCATACATGCGTAATATATTTGGATGCCTAAAATAAAATAAAGTTATCTACAGAACTTTAAAATTCAAGGATATTTGCTAAACAGAATAACTGTTGTGCAAATTCTTTAATTTAAAACTATTTGGTAACTGCTTTGAATAAGTTTGCTAATATATTTATAGAATTATTCAGGACTATTACACCATCTGAAAGTGGTTATACCATAGAAATTAAATCTATTTAACTTTTTAAATATTTATGAATAGGTGTCATTACGAAGGAAATTCATGAACACTTTACTAAAAACGTTTTCTATTGAAAAAAATTTCTTACACTAGATGTAATATAAATATAGTTCCGTGTAAATGGAACTCTATAGCACATCACAAATGATAGCTGTATATGAAACAATTTACCAATCGAAACACCTAATATCTAGAACTTTAAACCAACATAAAGTTTAAATGTATTGAGATATGAAGATAGAAGTTCTAGCATATTTTAAGTTTTTGCAAAGAATTCTTATTATGTATTGAACTTACCTAAGGTGAGTTTGGATCTCAATTTCCCTTCTGACTTGATGTTCGACATCAGCTGTTTTAATTTGTGCTTTAAAGAGCACTTTCATTGCCACAATAAACTTAGACTTCTTTTCTCTGGCTAAATAAACATTACCAAATTTTCCTTTTCCCAGAGGCTTTCCAATATCAAAATCACCCAAGACCCATTTTTTTGCAGGCTCAATATTGTCTTTTCCTTTCTTTTTACTATCCTCTTTATTGGCTTGATCAACTTTCTGTTCAGTGCTTTTAACATTTTCTTTATCTTTTTGCGAAGGCTGTTGATCTACTGATTTCAACGGGGGAGGCAATTTAGGTGGTGGCATTAATTCCGTAGCTGTCTTAGGATCATCACTTTGAATTACAGGTTGGTTTTTTGATATATATGTTTTTACTTGATCATCAACTGTACTGTCGACATCACTTTTTTGAACCTCTGCAGTGCATGGTAAACCACTGTTAGTCGGAACAGTTGTTGGTTTCGATATTCGTAGTTGTTTAAAAGCACTAGGCTTCAAACTCATGCCCATTTGTGGTACTGCAGGTCGTGATGGAATATTATTTCCCTTGCCTTTCAACATTCTTATGGAACAAAATTAACCCTAGAACTTTAATGGTTAGAACATTATATTAAACTCTTATCATACTTTATCACATTTTTAAATGAGTTTATAAATTACATACCTACCAATATAAAGGTTTGCAGAGACGAAAAAACGCGAAAATGAATACAATGGTTCTACAACTTTTTCACGAATAAAATGGACACAGACACAAAATCCAGGAGAAACTTTCAATAAAAATTACAGAAATGAATAAGATATTTCACTAAACGAGTAGTTGAAGTCCATTCGATTCCAGGCACCTCCAAAAAATTTCCACACAAGTTATATTCTACTTCAACCCGCTTTAAATGCCATTACGAGTTAGCTCATTCAAAATAACGTATCTTCTTGCGCTCTTGCGATTGGTCAGATTCCGACTCAATTTCTATACTAAGTTAGGACACACACGCATGTGGAAGGGAGCAAGAAGTATTTAACGGACGTTCATTGGTAGATAGAATGTCAAATGTTTGCCAGTAGATGGTGTTTTGCAATGCTAAGCAGTATGAAAAAAATTTGCTAATTTCATATGATAAAAGTCTAAACTTTATGTTTATGAATGAAAATAGGTATATCGAATTATTCCGTACATGCATTTCCTTTTACATATAAGTAATGGATTTCTCATTTATGAGATTATTACGTTTCTAGGACCAGTATCTAGTTTGAAAGGGAATTCACAGGTGACAATAGCAGATGGCCAGAGTATAATAGTTTTCGAAGAAAAATAGAAATTTTTCGAAATTTGGAACTAATGAATATCTGATGTTTATAATTTTCATTAATTAATAATGAATTCACCAAGAACTCCTCAAACGACGCTCAGTGCTGAACTAAAGAGTATTATTAATGAGAGGAATATCCTAACAACAAGAACGCGAATGAAAGGTAAATCGTTAATTTTTTCATTCATAAGGATTTTAATGTTTGCTACACTTTGAATAATAGTTCTTAGTGCACTGGATGAAATTCATCAAGAGAACAGAGCTGAAAAGGATAGGAATTTAAGAGCTCAAGCAATACAAGAAATTTTAACTTCTGAAGTAACTTATTTACACCAATTGGAAACAATTATGCAAGTAGGTCATTATAAATAAATGTTGTATAATTCATTACTGTATTAATAAATTTAAAGAATATATTTATTTTTCAGTTCTTCATGCATACTATGATAGAAAAAGGACTATTAACGCATGCTTCTTACATTACACTGTTTGGAAATATTGAATCTTTATACAATGTTAATGGTGAATTGCTGAAGGAATTAAAGCAAGATCCTGAAAATGTTGCTAAGGCATTTTACAGACTGGCTCCGTTCTTTAAGTTATATTCAGTTTATGCCTATGATTATAAACAAGCTCTAATACTACTACAAGTAAATTTATAAAATTATCTTCATTACTAAATTTTTTACCCTTGCATCAGTATTTGAATTTATTTAGGATACAGAGCAGAATGATCCAGTAACTGCAGATTTCATAGCAAAGCAAGAAAGTAGACCAGAGGTTGGAAAAAAGTTGTCTTCCTTGCTAATAGCTCCAATTCAAAGAATACCACGATATAAACTATTACTTTCTGAAGTACTAAAACACACATCAACCAGACATAAGGATTACAATATATTGAGAGGTATGCACAATTATCTTTCCTATCTTTTTTAATTCTAATACATTATATAGTCCATGTAACTGCATTGCAGGATCCTTGGCTGAGATAGAAAAAACAGCAATACATATAAATAGTTTAGTAGCAGATTATGAAGATACACAAAAATTGCTTGAATTGCAAAGACGAATCATCAGTCCAATTAATTTAATCAAACCAGGACGAAAGCTATTAAGACAAGGTCCATTGATGCGTGTTTCACGACGAGGAAATTCCTCATACAGAAGACATTTTGTTCTTCTCAGCGATACCTTGCTTTACTGCAAGGGAGGTGTTGAGACTTCTTTAACAGTGTGTTGTTTGTTACCACTAAATAAATGCAAAGTACAGCGTGTATTGAGTGGTGGTCTTTTTAAAGTTTCATGCCTTCAAGAAATTCTGTTACTATACTCAGAAAATGGAGATAGTGAAGCATGGATACAGTCATTGCAGGACGCTGCAAAGAAGGTAATGCAAAATCTAATGGGTGTACAACATGATCAACTTACATTATTTTAATTTATTTGGTTTTGTAGTATGCAGAATGCAGACAGACACTGAGAAAAGATAGTAGTTCCAGAATGCCATTAAGACATCATAATATCTACCAATTTCCATCAGAAAATATCCCAGAAAAACGTTGCAAAAGAAAAAGACATGAGGATGGTGTTGATGAAATGGTAATTATTCATCTTTTTATTTTTCATCGTCCATAATACTTTTAAGGTATCACTGATTTATCTTATCATGTAGACTGATCCAAATATATCAAATATAATTTATATCAACCGTGACTGTGAGGATGATGGTGATGCGGAAAAAGGAACAGAGTGTTTCCCATTTAAAAAATTAAAAAAATCCAGAACAAATACAACCGACAACTTAAACAATAAAGGAAATACTTGGATGGATAAATCATTATCGGAAGGTTGTTCTAACGAGAACAATTGCCAAAATAAGCAACCATATATGGATTCTTTGTATCCACTTCGACAAGTTCCTCTAAAAGCTAACAGATATGATAAAAAATGTAGAATTGTGGCAGGACCTTCTAAAAAATCAACAACTTTAGATACCATTAATGAAACGTCGTATCCATACGAATTTCATCAAGAAACTTATGAGCAAAATATCGAATCATCTACAACGTCGTTTAAAAGGATAGGACATTTCTTTTCAGCCGTTGGGAACTCTCTAAGAGGTTTTTTTAGATTAAGATGAAACATAAGTTTTCATAATCAATGTCTTTAATAAACTTTCGTATATATTACACCATTTTTTAAGAAGGTATTATGTGAGTGGTACAATTTATATGACTGATGCACTTAAATAAGTCTATAAATAAACATATATTCATTTTTCCAGTGTTTTTAATTTTTTCATAAATCTTTCAACTCTCTTAGAATCAACGGCATTTTCCCAACGTCCATCGACTTTAAAATTCGTTCCAACGATAATAGCGTTTGCTGAAGTATATTTTTCCAAATTATCATAAGACACTCCAGAACCCACGAGAATAGGACCTCTTGTTGACTCTTTCAATTCTACAGGAAAATTAATTTTTATATTAAAATACGTGAATGGTTCCATAGCAATCCTTACCTTCAAGTTGTCCCGCATCCGCAGGGTCCCCTGTAGCAGATCCTGTAAGAATAACGCCATCGGCGAGAAAGAATTCAGCAGCTTTTGACGTCTCTACCAAACTAACATCTGCAGTAATGGCGTGGGCACTATGCTTTTTCTTTACATCAGCAAAAACAAGAACATCCTCTGCCCCAATTTGCTTTCTGTATCTGAGTAAAGTTCCTGCACAAGAATCCGTAAATCCTTCATCTGCTATATGAGAAAACACGTATCCTTCTGCTCGAATAAATTGAAAATTAGCAGCCTGTGCGACAGCGAGAGCCTCTTTGTTTGCTCCTGCTAGAACCTGATGATAACTAATGTCAAATTTTTTAACGATATCAAATTTATGCAATATAACAATTAGGTTTATAACCTGAACGCCACAGGCTGTACAATTTAAAACAACTTTTCTAATTTCCGTGCAGACTCGGGTCATAATGGCTGTAGTTTCCGGTAATAAATCTTTTGACCGAACGTAAGGTATGTCATGCATATTCTCAACCATAATACCATCCTGTAATATAAGTTTCATTTATTTTCTCAAACTATGACTAAATTCCTTTGTCAAAAACTTACGACACCGCACTCTATATAAGACTCAGCATCTTTTACAGCATTTGATATAATTTCTTTAACTGATCCACCGTATCGTGGTGTTCCTACATAAAAATAATATGAATAAGACTATGATATTTTTTGCACCGAGAATTCTTAGTACTCATAATAACGTCAGTACTGTTATTATTAATAAGACACGCTTTAAAATCAAAATGAAATTGTGTAGAATACTGGTGAATCTTCATGTAGTAGACAGTACAACGACGAATTAAGGTTATATTTAATTTCTAAATAAAATAAAATTTTATTCACCTGGCAAAGCACCGACATGCACCATACCAATAACGGAGCATTGTTTATTGGGAAATATACTACGGAACCGATACATAACGATAACGATTATAAGAAGATTCTACGACTAAAATGATATAGCACTGATACTGCAATCCGAGAAATTCAACCAGTTGACAAGGCTGTTATGATACTAATAAAAGTACTGCTAGTCAGAAGTTCAGTTGTGCGATAAATCTACAATAATAGTAACAATACTTTGGAAGGGATTTAATTGTAATATAGAGTAGCATCAAACAATGAAATAAAGGTAGACCGTGTAAAACGTGCATTTTTAACCTTTTATTTGTGTTTTTTATCACATTTTCCTGCTCTAAATATCAGAGCATTTAATCGGCCGTTACAGTCATACTTTCTTTTGATCTAAGAAAAATACAATATATGTGTGTTATATCGTAACGCGTATGTTTGTTGCTGTTATTCTGTTTTATTTATTTACCTATTCATTTATTTATTTATTTCTCCCATAGTCCCCGTCGTCATGAAATGTCCGGGGTGTCCACGAAGATCATTAAGTAAATTACGTTTTATGAACGCGAGAAATGTACATACAAATACGCAAACTCAATAGTCATCGACGAACAACCAGATGATACGCAAGTCATGCAGAGGACATTCATATGACTTGCATTGTACCTGCATCTCACATAGAAATGCCATCTATTCAAAATTGTTTGCCTGTATCTTGTTGTTTTTGTTATCTATCGCTCACGTCGAAGAATCGACCACGCTCAATCTGTCGGGCTATGTCACAGCCAGTGTATATATATTTTGTTTTCACGTTGAATAGTACCAACAATTATTTTGAATCGTTTAATCAGATCGTGTTATGGACCCGAACGTTACGTCATAATATTAATAATAGTAATATGTATGTGTAACTATTAGTCAGCAGTAATAAATTATAATCGCTACAATTATCGGCTATTTATGCACTTATTTGCATATTTTCTCAATCGCAAAGTAAAATTATCAATCTTCTCTCACTCGCCAAAATTTATAGCAATAATGTGTAGGAATCGTACTCACACACATAGTCGGGTACATTCCGAGTCAAATATCAATTAATACCGGCTCTTATGTTATCGTTCTTCGCTTTCCATTTATTATTACATTTGTATTGTTCTTATCCTTTCGTTCCTTTTATCCCCCATTCGCTGAGGACGGCTTTTTCCACGAGTGTCCATAAGATATCATTTCCCCATTTATCGCCGGCAGACTTTATTCTATTTTATTAACTAGTCTAAACATTAGGATTGAAACCTTACAGCACTCTATTTCACTCTCTTTCTTTCTTTCTTTCTCATTCTCTCTCTCTTTCTCTCTCTCTCTCTCTCTCTCTCTCTCTCTCTCTCTTTCTCTCTCTCTATTTTATATATTTTATTTATTATTACGCTATCATTTTTGTCGCAGTAATACAGCTATCTATATCAATAAGAGAATTAGAGAGCAAAAAAACAATGACGTAGTCTTTGTTAATTCTGGATTGCTCTTACAATAATGAACCGTCGTATATGTACCCTCGTATTATACTCATAGTATTATTCCCTATTTATCTTTTTTCTCTTTCTTCATCGCGGTTCGATATTATTTCTTATTTTGTTGCCAACCACCCCATATTCACACAAAGACGATTATGCATTTACCTACCAGACGGCTATACAGTAAAATGTACATACATCAAGCGGAACACAAGCTACGCACAATTTCATTGTGTCTGTAACTTTTTTTTTACTTATGTTTTTTGAACACATCAATACAAACAAAGCAGAACGTACACGAACGTACATACGGTTTCTACGCGACTGTCCTCGCCGTCGATTTATCTCTCGCATAGATGAGAGGAGCACAACTTGCTAGATACCAATTTCGTTCTGAGTCTACTGGCGACGCTTTTGTATTAGTACAAACGAAATGAGTACGTGTTTTGTAATTTTATGTTTTTTTTCAACTTTAACGATATTGTTAGATCATTTAGACACACAGCTTTTCAAGTAGTTATGATATAATAATAATAATCAGAATGGCTGAAATCATTTAATTAGACACCATACAAGAATAGTTTTGCATCAGCATTAATAGGTAGAAAGCTATTCAGGCATATTAGCCCAGTTGAAGGTGGTTCTACCCATATAAATCAGATGGACTACCTTCAGTTAGTGCAACCTCCTGAAAACCCCTACATATGGGGAGGGGGGGGGGCAATGCAGAGTGTAGTACTCAACTACCTACGTAGATTCTGTCTAATATTATACCCAGTTACTAAATATTTTACAGCTACAGATCTAACATTACCAATTCAATATGGCCACTATGTTCTGAATTTTATATATTTTCGACGATACTTTGCTCAAAAATAATAGAAGTATTTATATACACCAAAATACTTGTTTCCTCTTTTTGTGTACGTCAGAGACCTTTAAACAAAACTGATCCTACAAAGATTATGCAATCTTTATTAGTCTCGCAATAAACTTTGCAATTGATTTTAATTTTGCTTCTTTTTCCTTTCGTTACTGGTATGTACTCCGTATAACGACGGCGAGTATACATATATATATATTTTTAAATTTATTATCTTTTTAGCATTATTTTATATATGTATATGCATATGTACACGAGAAGCGATGTAGGGGAGTCGCAAATTTATTGTGGTTACCCAGGACAGAAGGACATGTAAAAAAGATTTTGATTATCATGCAGTTCTCCAATTCAAAGTATTGCATTGTGCATTGCTGTAATTCTCTGATGGCTAAGCCACCTTTTTCAATAAAAATTCAGGCTTATGATAATGCCGGACTTCTTTGTTGCAATTAGTTTCTGTCCAATATCAAATGTTTCATTTAACACCCTTCACTCGGAACGTACCCACACTCTGACTTGAGTAGCAACAATACGAAAGACTTAATCGTTAAGAATAATGAACGATGAATAGCAATTAAGAGTTATAATTAGTGATATAAAATACTTTAATAATTGTTAGGACCAGGGTGCACGCGGTCACGCTTCCAGACAACAAGTTAAGATAAATCACTTAATTACCGGAAAGAGAAAAACAAAAAGTGAATAACATTGGATGATCATTTCTTGATCGTGCGATCGTTTCTTCCTTCGAATGTCCAATATATTTTGTGCTGTGATTGGCCAAAGAACCGCACCTAGAAACGCGACATCCACGGGCGACTTATTACAGATCTCGACTAAATTAATAGATGCCCACAAAATGAAAAATATAAAAGATAAACGTTGTTTATACGTATGTTACGTGTAAATAACTACAAGAATATTTACAACAAAAAAAAACTATTAGGAAACCATGGGATAAACGTTTTCGTATTCATCCTAGGAGTAGAAATGAGACAAAGAAGAATGTCTTCAGTTACTACAAGTGTGTTTTCAAAAGTAAAATACATGAGTCTGTAAATTAGGATCGGTAATTGCATGACAGCGTATCCTTCCTGAACAGCGAGATAAAATCTCTAAATTTATAATCCTCTATTTAAAACAACCCGGCGAATTGAATCCCCTAAGTTGAAAGAAAATTACTGCTAAGGTGCACCCTGGCCTGAGATCAGACGACTAGCACTTGCGGTTGTTGTTAGCGCCGCTATTTTGTAGCCGCAAACGGTCCTGGCGACGTGGTCGCTTACCCTTGCCGCTGGATACTTCACGAGCCTTATTGCTCCTCTCAAGACGTCCTCTTTTTAAAGTCTGGCTCGCTCGTTTCTCCAGGACCTGTAAAGAAACGAATTGTCAAAATCTAGGATTCGCGAAAGTAATATTTTAAGTCACGTGAATATATATAATTTCATACGTACTTTCTGGGCGGATCTTGATTGAACAATTCGAGACTCCTCGGCGGCACCAAGTGAACGATTATTCCTATGCTCATGAAGGCCATTCCTTCTGCTGGAATCAACCACAATTTCGGCGGCTCGACCATTACGTCTCCGGGTATTGCTCCACTCGGTTGAAACTGGTGTGGCTTCGGCAACCAGCATTAAAGGACTCGTGGTATTACCGAGGATTTCACATTCCTCTTCCTCCTCATGGATGTCTGGAGTAGGTGGTGGGGTATCCGGGGCGACGGATGGCGCTGCTGCCCTATAGACGGACATACTAGGATGCTCTATTAGCAGGTCCTCCAAGGGCGAAGTCTCTACGTGAACGGGGCCCGCCCTGGTGAAGCATGCAGGGGGTGTCACGTACCACGACTCTTCCAGCGCCGTTGCACCCTCAACTACAATAGAACAAAACAAAGGAAGATACATTAAGACTCTTCTCGTCCGTAGAGCATTCATCACTTTTCTTATTATTTCTATAGTCCAATAACAGTTACCAGCTAGGTCAATGAGGATCCAATCATCGCCCTCGGCTTCCACCTGGCTAAGTCTGGCTTCTACAGGGTAGGAATCCCCAGTCCTCTCAATTCCGGAATCTCCACGGGTATCTTGAGCACCAGAACTACTACCAAGTAGGTAGCTTGCCAAGCTGCTGAGCATCCTGACCTTCTGATATATTCTAACTGCAAATATAAATATTGGCATTACTGTTTGAAGAAACTTTACGCAATGGAATACAGCGTAGTTACTGTTTTTCCTCTTAAAAATTCCTCATTGTCATGCTCTAATTACGTTTACGCAATGGTCACTACCTATAGTATTGGATTCTACTAGGCATCTCGGGGTTATCTCGTAAATTGTAGATTTAATCATAATGTTAATCGCTGCCTTCAAGACTAGATCGAAAGTCTAGTAAAAACTAAAAAGCGGTAAAAAAACCGTGTAAAGAAAAAAAGATAAAAGTGAATTGCAACAGGCTAGATATCGCGACCGCCTTGACATTCTGCATGTACAGTGGATGCTCTCAGTCTTTGTCTTTTTCTCTTTTTCCCTCTTTGTCTATCTATGTCTCATTTACTAGTATTTCGACCTTGTCTATACGTATTGCGTTCATTCGATTTCGTAAAGTGGAATTCGCGTGCTGTACTAAGGTAACATAAAATAATAAGAGTCCAGTTTTCTTATCCATCCCTTATACCTAATTCAGAATAACCCTGTGTCAATATTTAAAGGCTTTTTTCCTCTCGGTCTTGCTGGCAACGTCAACTGGATTCGGATCACGTCGAGCTGTCGTGTGTGCGTATCGCGCTCTAGGGTATTAATTCTCGTGAGGCAAAAGAGCGCACGTGATCGCAATGAGTTGCGCAACGGGCACAGAACCGATTAAAAGCAACCACAAGCTCGCCAGTAAGAGTTAGGCAGTTAGCTACTTTAGTTATACATATAGTGCAGGAAAAGAGAAGGAGACGAGGAAGTTCCTACGTAAGTAGGAGATACACGTGTTCTCGATTGACGGAGACTGTATTTTTAGTCTCACTCGTAAGCCGAGTCCAGATACGGACGACGTACAATCCGAAAGTGAAGAAAAAATGAAGCAACGTAAAGTAAAAAGAGAAAATTGCGTGCCTCTCGATCCGCACAACTGTGTTCTCGCCATAAGACTATTTTACGCCTTTTCTCTTATTATTAATACGCTCCCGATTACGTCTTGCGGATGTATCGCCACGTGTATCGCCCACGCATCCTTCCTAATGGCCATGGGACGAAATACTTTGGGTATAAGAGCTTTGCCAAAACGCTTTAAATTCTAGCTCCTAGCAAGCTGTTGATAACATGATACAGTCGAATAAATAAATCAGTTCCAGCGCAAAAAAGAATATGGTACTTATAGTCAGGTAGTGACATCCATGTCACATTAAAGGTTCTTTCTGCGTTATAATCTATAGGGATATGGATGGTATAAATGGATGCTAGAAGCAACACAGATCTCGGGTTAAAAAACTAAAGAGGATTGGAAGTAGTCAGAAGAGGAAAAACACGTGATCTTAAGAGGAATAGAGCAAAGTGTAATTCTTGTAATTCTTGATCGATGATCACGCACATAGTCCCGGTAGCGATGTTGAAAGTATGTCAGCCGGTCTTGTTGTACGAGGCAGTAAATTCAATTATCCATTGAGTCTCGAAGCTACATAGTCCAAGAAACATGAGGTATGTACAGTGCTTTCGTGACCCGTTGGTACTCAAACGCTTTATCAGAAGGCGTATAATAACAGAGGAATTATTTTGATAAAATATATAAATTTTGCGACGCTTTAAATTACATACTTTACTGTGAATATATTATTAGAAAACTTATCAAGTTATCACTAAAACAACTAGAAAGCGAGAGACCAACTGCCGTAAATTTTCGAGTATCAACTTGTTCGAGCTCCTGATTAGAAATTTTTGGCACGATGTAACCTCGTGGCCGTCTCGTGTAGTTCTCGTGGATAATAAGGCAACTATTAATTCACGGCTGTGCGATATTATAACTTAAGTCTCAAAGCTGCTACACAACTTGGACAAAATAACGTACGCGTAATCCGGTTATCCATTGAGAAAGTGATGTGACAATGTCAAAGGAATATCAACGGAACTGGTTATGAAAATGCAAAAGTATAATTACTAGATTGCGTGGGAGACGAGGTACTAATAGAGAGAGAGAGAGAGAGAGAGAGAGAGAGAGAGAGAGAGAGAGAGAGAGAGATATCAGCAATCGTATGTAGTCATCGGTATACACTGGCAAAATCTAGAGCGCTACGGAGCTAAATTAACGGGCTGACGTAAGCGACGAACTCCTCCTCTCTTGGTATCGACCATGAGATAGGATGGATGCGCGGATAGCGCATATTTATAGGGATACGTTCTATGTTTGTATGGAAGTCGAAGCATCGAAAAATTTCTTCACTTGGTAGTCACCATTATTCCTGTACACTATAGATCTTTCTAGATCAGAATACGTATGCAGGTACTATATATTAAACTGCAGCCAGTATACACCTCTTGAGTATATACACTTCTCCTTTTAGATGGTGATTTCGAATCATTCTGCAGAACCTCGTCAAGTTCCCGTTACCTCATCAAAACGCAATCACTGTCATTGTGCAACACACTGCCAGAGAGCCAGCTATTACACTGGCTCTATACTATGTATACGTTAATTTTTTTGTTATTAAACTCTATAGGAATAGCGTGCCTTATTCGTGCGTGTTATTGGTGTGCGTGTTACCGATTATTGCTTGGTTCCCTCCTATTCCCACGTACCACAAACTATGGGGCATTGGGCGTTGCTACTTCACCGTTCGCTCGAAAGTCACTATATCATTTATTACAATAAGAATTTCTTTCTCGGTGTCTAACTAGAGGATCCATCCTTGTTTATTCCGATGTCCTTGTCTTTAATTCTTCTTTGTCGTATTAACAAAAATCGCGAGAAATTTTTTAATTCAGTTAATACTTTTTAATTATTTTACCAAGTTTCAAATTCTTCTATTTGTTCTATGGTGTTCTATCTGAAGGTGAACAAAGAAAACGCTGGGCGAATCTATCGAGAGAATGACGCAACGCGCAGAATCCGTTAACTCAGGACTTGAAAGAAGAAGCACTCAACTGGAATTTAACGACTGAGTTAAAGTCACTCGGACTCTTAAATTTGCGAAGGAGAATCACAGTGAAGAGATTATCAAGAGAATCAAATAAAATCACTCGCCTGGACGTGTTGCGATCGAGGAGCCGCGGTAGCAACTACCCCAAGTGACAGCCGTCAGCTGACTCCAGATGACAGCGAGCAGCGCTACCTTCCTGGGAGTGGGAGTGGATATTTTGCGGAGTGGGGTCTTTCGTCGAATCCTAACAACAGTGGGGATACGCTCAGCTGGCCGAACAGCTGCTGCACAGTGCCGTAGCACGTTAGGGATTGAAATAATTCACGACGTAAACAGTGGCTATACTGACTTCTCTGAGACAACTATTTCTGACGCTAGTTCTTTACGGTCTACCATTCTAAAAATATCTCAGAAAGTTTCAAGTGTAAGGCCACGTTGTACAACAGCGTCCGGAAACAGTTACGAAATACAAATTTATGTTTAGAATCTTTCGACCACATTAGTTTTATATTTTTCAGTCTACGAGTATATCCAGAGATCTAGTCTAATGTTATTTTCGTGAGAGGGTTAGCAAGTAGCCGTTTTCCTGGACAAAAACGCTCCCTAGCAACAAGGGTGCTTTGTAGCTAAATGCCGAAGCGACGCCTATGCACCCTGGTAGCCAGCGGGACGCCTGCGCGAGGCGTCCTCAGGCGTCGATACTGCTCCGGGCATCCTGTACTTTGTCTCACCCAGGCTTCTCTCTGGCTCCGGCCGCTTCTCCTCATTCGAATTATATCCAGGTCGATTTTTACATTTTTTTAGGCATCCTTAACACGCGGTCTTACGCTCTTCCTGTACATACATCATGCGAGAACGCAATAAGAGCGAATGCGTAGGCAACCTTAACAGCACTCTCTACTTCCCCAGCAAAAAAGAAATACATAGAGATAAACATAGAAACAAAATATCTCTCATGCCTATCTCCGTGTATACATAGAGAAAAAGTCCATGTGCATGTGTGCAGATGTGCATAAAATCTTTTCAAACACACATATAGTATAGTATTATTCCAGGATGGCTCAGAGCCAAGTGGCTCAAGCGTGCTATTCGCGTACCTGAACCTGGCCATCTAATAGGTCAGAGTTACTTACAATTAGAAATTGCCAGTGGTAACCCACGCGTCATCAGCTCACTCTACACGTATAATTCTGAACAGTAGCCATTAGACATAGGAACAGTAATTACACATACGGTACACCCTTTTTTATTGAAAAGCTGATCTCTTTTCGATCGATTGTCAATTTACAAATCAGTGCAATAGCCAGTTCGTGTGCAGAGTACTTTTAGGATACAATTAAATAATATCCTCAGGAAGATTGAATTGTGTAACAACTTATGGTATTGCGTGGAAACTAGAGACGTTGAAAACAGAAGAGACGTTGGAAATAAACAGAGGAGAAGCGCTCGAGTGAATGAACGCACAATCAATACAGGGCGGCGACCCTAGCCTTCTTACTACCTTCCAGTTATTCTGGATACGGTTCAGGAACCTTTCGTCTCCGTCAACCCTTTGCTGCCCTTCATCCCCTTCTGCCTTTGGTTTCTCTCCCTCCCTGCCGATCTTTCACCATGCGATGCTCTCGAGATACCTACACATGAAGTAAGAAAACAACCGACCACCTTCTAGTCCCTTACTGCCACTCTAGTCACTGGTTATCCTGTATAATACTTTGCGCAGTAATACTACCAAAAGGGTGATGCCCAGTTGCGCACAAACCCAATTGGACACAAATGCGAATTTCTGTCTCCTGAGCGATGTTCCATCAATAGTTCAACGATATTGTAAGTCATCTTTATCTGGCGGAATCTTTTCAAACATTTAATACTCTCTTCAGTCGGACTCGCTCTCTTCGCTCGTTCGTCGGCGATAAACTTATCCACTAACGTACCCAGTCTTCGAAATTTGAACATTCCACCCTGTCCTAACCAAACCTTACCTAACCAAATCTAACGTAAAGTAATGTAAAACTACATACAATATACTATAATAAGACATC